GTATCAAGTCCCAAATTATTCGCGTGGAATCAATTTAAAAATTTATCTTTAACTATATTCTAGAAGGTTTCAGTTTTGCGGTTATTAGTGAAGTACCATCTGCACACAATACTATCTCAGTAAGCTTTTGAGCTAAATTTCGTTAATTATTAATGTCGAAAAGAAACAAGAAAGGCCTAAGAATGGACCCCTAGGGCACACTTATTTTTACTGAAAAACCTTTTTTACACCATCTGGACCTTTTGAATCTTATTGCTAAGATAAGATCCAAGAAACAAAGAGCTATTTTATTATGTTATGCTCGCTTATGGTCTCTGCTCGCGGCGGACTCGTGTGACGCGTCGTCCATATCCTTTGATATGGACAAGGAGGGCGATGGCTATCAGATTTGTCATGCTTGTGAATAGGTGGTTCTTATGGTGGCTGGACTGCGCGGGTTCGCTATACACTGATAAGCACTAAATTTTTAATCGTCTTTTTCAAATATGTTATAGAACATACTTCAGTTATCAATGAGTCTGTTAGCGTTTTCCATTTTGTATATACTATACTTATGTAATAATACTTATGTAATATACATTAACAAGTAAAATTTTATTACGTTTTTTTTCATATTCTTGGACTGTCATTGAATTCTGATTTATGTTCAAAATTTCAAATATCTAGCTCATCGGGAAGTTAGTTAAAATCAATTACTAAATTCGAAAAGCAAGCGGACACCTCCGAATTTTTTTCTCCGTTCCTTCTCCAAACAGACGAACAAACTGCAATAGATTTGATAAGAATTAAGAAATGACATTTAAAAAACGAAATTTTATTTTGCTACGTGGGAGAAATAAATATATTTAATTTTATTTCATTTCATATCAAAAACGTGATGGCGTGACGTGATCGTCACGCTTGGCAGTTGGATTAGCTATCGGTCAGATGTCCTGCATCTTTGACGCTACTCTGCAACACCGATCTGTCTCATCTCGCAAAATGCTTATATCGCAATCTATCGGTGGCCACTATATCTCCAAAACCTTTCTCTCAACCGTCTCCTACTACACCCACGAATTATATAGGGTGATAGATTCTCGTATGCTGACTCAGCATGGTGTATTTAAACAAACAAATCATATTATCCTTTGTGAGTGTTATCGTGTACTCGCTGTGTAATGTTATACCCCGTAGATGCACAGACCGCGGCCCGCCGGTCGAATACTGGTGGCACGCCGACAGCAAAAATAATACTCTCGTACATTCGAAAAATATTGAATTACTTATATTCAATAATAAAACCAAAAAAAATATGTTCGAAAAGTAATTTGAATCTGGCGCGCGCGCTCTTAAGTGCGCTTATCGGTGCGCCGTGCATACGTCGGTAACAGCGGTCGGTAATGTTCGTGCTGATCTCGGTTAAATTCGTTTTCTCGAGGAACCGCCGAGGCCGGCGGCGCGGCGACGACGGCAGCGCGGTGGCGGCTTATCCACGGATTATATTGTTAGAACAAGCGAGATAGCAATAGTCCCGAATTCCCGATTGCTCGCGTAGGTAGATACACGAAGCTTCCAGAGTCGGTTTCGTGATTTCTCCAGACAGTTTTCGACTCTATACGCGCGGTATAAAAGCCACGCTAACCGCAGCGACCGACAGTTCGGTTTTAATTTGAGTGAAGTGTCAATAGTTCTAGTGTAGATTTTAACTCGACTAGCCGGTGTCATATATTTTGATCCACATTCAACGTAGATTTCCCGTCAAGTGCCGTGTAAAAATGTGTTGTGAAATCGTAAGTAAAACTCTGTTATTAATAAGTGTTTCCTTACCTATTCAATCAATTATTTTTGGTAATTTAAAAAAGGGTGGGTAATTTAAGTAAGTACTGTAATTGTTCTTAGGTGCTGTGTTAAACCTAGCCAGAATTAGAACGCAACATGGACAAGCCAGGACCTAGTAAAAAACGTAAGGTTAAAAATTAAAATCGGCAGTTTCAGGAAATTTGGACTGCGAAATATTTTTTTGTATGGTCGCTTAACAAAGTCGTTTGTTTAATTTGCAAGAATTCTGTTGCGATTGCAAAGGAATATAATGTAAAAAGGCACTATGAAACGCAGCATCCTACTTTTACCAAGTTTACAGGCGAATTAAGAAAGCAAAAAATGTTGTCTTTAAAACGGGAGCTTATTGGTCAGCAAGCTATGTTTACAAAACCCATTCAAGATTCAGAAACAGCTACAGAAGTTAGTTATGAAATTTCTCGAATGATAGTAAAGCGAAGTCGCTCCTTCAATGATAGGGATTTTGTAAAAGAATGCATAGAAATTGCCGCTAAGAAAATGTGTCCAGAAGCAGCAAAATAGTTTGAGAAAATTCAACTGAATCGTATGACTATCCAAAGACGAATTATGTCTTTGTCAGGTAATATTGCGGAACAATTAAATGAAAAAACTAAGATCATTGAATTTTTTTCATCAGCATTCGACGAATCTACCGATATTAGTTCCATAGCTCAACTTCTGATATTCATACAAGGTGTTACTCAAGAGTTTGAAGTCTTAGAAGAGTTATTAGGAATGTGTTCATTGAAAGGTCAAACCAGAAGAGTTGATATACTCAATTTACTTTTGGGTGAGTATTCATAAACTGATTTGGACTTATCGAAATTATCGGGAGTTGCGACTGACGGCGCTCCTTCGATGATTGGTGTCAATTCTGAGCTATTTACTTTGCTGAAAAAGCATCTGCGAGAAAAAAACGTAAACGCTGAAGATCTCATGCAGTTTTACTGCATTATACACCAAGAAGCCCTCTGTTCTAAAAAAATTGAATTTCAAAATGTCATGAAAGTGGTAGTTTCGACTGTAAATTTCATAAAATCACGAGGACTCAATCACAGGCAATTCAAACATTTCCTTGATGACATCGAAAGCGAATATGGAGATTTAATGTATTATACAGAACTTACTTCTGTAAGTCGTGGATTGACACTGGAACGATTTCTAAATTTAATAGAAGAAATTGGAATATTTCTAGCGAAAAAGCAAAGGTATGTCCCGGAACTTAAAAATCCTGATTGGTTATGTGATTTGGCTTTTTTAGTTGATATTACAAATCATTTGAATGTCTTGAACACACGGCTTCAAGGCAAAAATCAACTGATATCCCAGCTCTACGCTCTTGTATCATCCTTTCAATGCAAGTTGACATTTTTCAGATCGCAATTGAATTCTGGAAATTACAATCATTTTCCGAATTATAAGAAAATGGCTGAAAAATTTAACAAAACTGCGATTAATTTCAGTTATGTAGAAAAGCTAGATATTTTGATTCAATCTTTTCAAGACAGATTTTCGGAGTTTAAAAAAATGAAACCTCTGTTGGACATATTCAGCAATCCTTTCACGATTTCAGTTGAAAATGCGGCAGAGTCAATACAGTTAGAAATTATCGACATTCAAAACGACCAACATTTACGCAACAAATTCAACGAAGGAGACTTGCTGAACTTTTACCGCTGCATTGATAAAAATACGTACAAAGAGTTGCGCATAAACGCTCTGAAATGTGCCAGCTTATTTGATTCTACCTATATATATGAACAAAACTTTTCAATACTAAATAATAATAAAACAAAAAATCGAAACCGCCTTGCAAATGAAAGTTTGGAAGCAGTTTTACGTGTTGCTACAAGTAAATTTGAGCCAAATATAAAAAAGATTGTAAGCACTATGCAGTGCCACACTTCAAATTAATAAATTCTTTTTCAATTTTAATACATTATTATCAATTCTTTATTGTCTTTAATTACCTATACTTCTGGCGGCCCGCCATCAGTTCATAATTACCTATACTTCTGGCGGCCCGCCATCAGTTCATAATTACCTATACTTCTGGCGGCCCGCCATTAGTTCATAATTACCTATACTTCTGGCGGCCCGCCATCAGTTCATAATTACCTATACTTCTGGCGGCCCGCCATCAGTTCATAATTACCTATACTTCTGGCGGCCCGCCGTCAGTTCATAATTACCTATACTTCTGGCGGCCCGCCATCAGTTCATAATTACCTATACTTCTGGCGGCCCGCCATCAGTTCATAATTATCTATACTTCTGGCGGCCCGCCATCAGTTTATAATTACCTATACTTCTGGCGGTCCGCCATCAGTTCATAATTACCTATACTTCTGGCGGCCCGCCATCAGTTCATAATTACCTATACTTCTGGCGGCCCGCCATCAGTTCATAATTACCTATACTTCTGGCGGCCCGCCATCAGTTCATAATTACCTATACTTCTGGCGGCCCGCCATCAATTCATAATTACCTATACTTCTGGCGGCCCGCCATCAGTTCATAATTACCTATACTCCTGGCGGCCCGCCATCAGTTCATAATTTGCCCGAGTGGCCCCTAGTCTTAATAAGTCTGTGCATCACTGTTACACCCCATCAATGTTAGGAGATCGGTTAACGCATGTCTTTTACGCTGCTGCATCAGCGACATAAGCTCTATATAACTGATCTCCCGACGAATGCCGGGCAGTCTACAGTCAGTCTACAATTAATCTATAAGTCGCATTCCAGTCTCAGTCGTCGCTACGAAGTCTTTACAAAATCTTTCTAAGTCCCAGTTATTACTATATCATAAGTTTACTAATTCTTTATTGTTAATTTAATTCAATTATATTATGTCGTGTAATAGATAGTTTTTTTTTTTAATTTCTATCCACGGTTCCATATAATAGTATGAATATCGACTACCTCATATCGTCCCGTGGGTGTCTCAAGAGGTGACAGGGGAAACAAACCAGGAGGTGGGGAGCAGCATCTTCGTATTAACAACTAATAATAAAAAAAACTGCGGCTTCTCACCCGCTTATTAAGCGCCAACTATGGCAAATATGTGGGATATTCCACTATTATCCCACCTAAGGCTATCTATGGTGGGGACCAATGGACAGAAGACGACTTTTTAAAAGCTGTAACGGTAACGGTACCCACTGTTTTTGCCTACAGGGTGTACAAGAATTGCACTTGCGCTCCATTGACCGGCCGCGCTACACGCGGGTCCTGCAGTGATTACTCATGCAGAGGGATATTCGGGCTGCACGAGTTACTCTATACAGTGATGCTCTCAATTTCTGGTAGGCTATTTTTTTATAATTTTAAACTGCGACCGAGGTCGAGGACAACATGACGGTCTATAGTGACAGTAAATTGACATCTGCAACCAACTTCAGACTACCACAGAATCGTTGTTACACCTAAGGGGCCGTCCATTAATCATGTGATGTTTTTTTAGTCTTTTTAAACACAACCCCTCCCTCTTGGTGATACGTGGTGAGGTTTAAGACTCACCCCCCCTCAACCAAAGTCACGTGCATTTTTAGTACCTATATAGTATAATCTAGTTTTATTCTGAAATTAAGGACCATGATAAAAATGTCTAGACAGAAAGGTTACAGATTGTTTTTGAGTGGCATAAAAATAATATTAAAGAAATGGTGTAATGATGCGAACAACATAATATATTGTACTAGTACATGAACATATTTAATCTACATTGTCCTCGGCCAACGGATTAGCAAGACTTTCTTCAACACTAACAACTGGATAATCATTTTGCAAGTCAGTTATTGGCACTGTGCTTTGTTGAAGATCAGCGTCGGTTTTATCAAGCCACTCGGCGTCATCATTTTCGCACACTACACAGAGAATCTCTCTTGATCTACGGATCGATCGTCGCGTGAGGATGCGTGAAAGACGAACATTGTCATCTCTAGACTCTTATTGCTCAGATTAGGTTCATGCTTACGACATGAAATTACATGTACAGGCGAGTCAAGGTCACATTACCTACACTGCACGAAAGCGTTCGGTTTAGAAATCGCGAGTTTGACGAAAAAATAAATACACGTGATAATCTTACTACACCCCGCCCCCCCTTGTAATGTTTCGTGATTTTTGTCAAACCCCTCCCCCCACCTTTCGAGTCTCACGTGATTAATGGACGGCCCCTAAGGTGTGATGGAATGTCTTACTGTTTGTAATTTTACTAGTAATCTTATCCTTGAAATTGAAACAATAGTACGGGCACTGATGTATGTAGGCAGAAATAAATAACGGGGTGGTACAGATCGAAAACGATTTTAAGGCAGGAAAATACCACCCCAGTCCTACCCATCTTCATCATCAGCTTTTGTAATGGCGGTCGACAAGCCAGACTTCAATTTCCGCGTAACCACGTCAACTGGACTATAAGCCAATGGGAGTCAGTTCTTTTTAGTGATGAGAGTCGAATGACTTTATACGGTTCTGACGGACGCCGTAATTTCATGCGACGACAGACGACAGTGTTGCATAAGAGAAACTGTCAGTTATGGTGGAGGCTCTGTAATGTTTTGGGCTGAGATATCTTTGACTGGACGTACTGAGCTGGTTTTCGTACGAAGAGGTGCTTTAACTGCAGCACGCTACATCACAGAGATCTTAGAAGACCATGGTGGTGCCATATGCCGGCTATGTTGGAGAGACCTTTGAATTAATGCATGATAATTCACGGCCACGCGTAGCGCGCATCACAACCGATTACCTTGAAGAGGTCGGCATTCGGGTTATGTCGTGGCCAGCAAGAAGCCCTGATCTCTGCCCTATAGAGCACATGTGGGACACCCTAAAACAAAAGGTTAGAGCCCGTAATCCAGTCCCTACAACATTAGGAGACCTTGAAACCGCCATTAGGGAAGAATAGAACCGAATCCCTCAAGAGCCCATCAAAATCTTGATAAGGTCATTGAAACGGCGAATGCAGGCTGTCATTCGAGTTAGAGGAGGGAATACGCAATATTAAATTGCAACAATTGTGTACATAAAATTCAATACATAAAAACTAGAGCGTATTGAAAATTAATAAAAATATTCGTGAAACATTTTATTTGTATGTCCTACAAATAATTGTTTCGGGTCTGGATGTGTGTCCTTGTGCAATTTATGTTTGTAAACTGCCTGCGCGATACGGGAGAAAATCCTAGTGTGGGATTAACGTTTTTATAAAAGAATTATAAAATAATGGTGAATAGATATACGATATACGATTAGCTTTATTTATTCTTTACATGCATCATAAACTGGAATAAATACCATTAATAAGAACTTAACTTATTTTAAAGTTAAAGGAGTTATAATCGATTAGTCTATGTTTTAAAATTGGGTTTTGATTTTAAAGTTTAGTAAAATATGTACTTGCATTTCTATCAGACATTTGATGTATATAAAAAATACCTTATAATTTATTTGGTAATTTAATTATTTTTTGAGAAAGACAAAAACAATAGCAATAAATATAATTAACATTGACTTAATAATAGGTACTAATTATAACTTAGAACATAAATGAAAAACTCATGACGAGCAAAGTGGCTCAGGACCATGCTTTGCGGCAGTCTGTGGAGGAGGATGTTCAGTAGTGGACTTGTGAAGAGCTGTAATGATGATGATGATTCGAAAACTTGCACGATTAAATTATAAGAAATCGACGCTTTTTTATATAGGATAGGGTGACAAACGAGCACACAGTTCACCTGATGGTAAGTGGTTGCTGTGGCCCATGGACATCTACATCTATCCTCGATTACGATTCAAAATGCAGATGCGTTGTCACCCATGAGGACTAAGATGAAATGCCTCGTTACCTTTAAAAAGTGTCTCTGGTTCTCTATACTCGCTATACGAAACACAGCATAATTAAGCTACTATTTTACATTGATATTCTGTGAGAGCGTGGTCCTTCCCCGGTCGAACCGACCTATTCGTGCTACAACTATACTTCTAATATAACTGCATGGTTCTACCACGTATAAACGACGTGCTTCATTTTTTTTTATTTTAAAATTGTTCTCGTTATAATCTGATTGTAAATAAATGTTCATTATTTTTTTGATAATAGCTTATCGATTAAAACAAATGTTTAAAAATAATTAAATCGCGCTAATTAAAGTAGTAGGAATGATTAAAGTGGAAATTGGCACTAAAAGGCTGGTAATTGGGTCATCCACCCTACAAAGCGTTAATATAAAATTTTAATCAGATGCGTGTAATCACTCTGGGAGCTTGTAGCAAACTAAATTCGCGGCCAACGTGTGGACGCGGCGACCAAACTCTGCCAACAATCCTTTGATCTTTTGTAAAAAACCGACACCACACGGATCTCGCGCCAACTTGCGGGCCATCGTTCCAATACATACCAATGAAGCCCAAACACCCCGTCTACACGTTGGCCAATGCTATTGGCCACTACATTCGCCACTGTGTTGGCCAACGTGTAGAGGCGCCGTTAGAAAAACGTGATTTGCGGCAAAAACGCAGGTGGGCTGATTTTTTTGATGGCCAGTATATTTACATTTAATTTTTAATGTAAATTAAATTAAATTTTGATAAAATAATGTTGAATGTCATGGTTTTGTTTTAACTTATGACATAATGGTTATTGGTGAATATATTGAATTTTGATTGGAGCCAATTTTTTTACATTTGAGCAGACTTCAACGTTTCATAAATGTATTTATATATACGGACCATTTAAAATGAAGTATATTCATGATTTTTTTTATATTATAGGGTGACAAACGAGCACACAGTCCACCTGATGGTAAGTGGTTGCTGCGGCCCATAGACATCTACATCTTCGATTACAAATCAAAATGCAGATGCGTTGTCACCCGTGAGGACTAAGACGGAATGCCTCGTTTCCTCGTTTACAGTTTCCGGTTCTCTACACTCACCATACGAAACACAGCAGCATTAAGCTATTATTTCACGCTGGTATTCTGTGAGAGTGTGGTACTTCCCCGGTCGAGCCGACCTATTCGGGCTACAACTATACTACTAATATAACTCCAGCATGGGTCTACAACGTATATTAGTTTATTATGGGTGGAAATACATTCGGCGTGTGTAGGCGGCGTGAGATAATTCAGAGAAAACGAGAATTCATTAACACATTTCGTCCCGTGGGTGTCTGGATGACGACTACGGGATATACCAAAGAGATCTTATGTCTCCTGATAAATGGTTGTTCACAGCATTATTTAACGCTGCTGGATCCCTTCGCAATTCAGCTAGAATGCGCTGATTTGTATCCTCACCGTGTAAAAAAAATGAGAGAAAATACAAAATTTTATTTTATTTTAAATAGAGAGAAAATAAAGTATTTTGTTTCAGCGTTGGCTATCCAAGCGCACGGCATGGTGATGCTGCGCTCTGTGGACAGTCGCGACAAGTCCGTTCTGGTGGGCATGATCAGTAGCGCCATCGCACTTTTTGCATTTTGTTGCGGACATCTCTTATTCCTGGAGGTTAGCGGTAAGTCAGTTTTTTTTACTTTTTTAACCGTAATAATTTACATATTCAACAAGCTTAAATATATATCATGATACGGTCCTTTATTGTCGTGAGACACAAAAAACACGAATAAGTACAAAATAATAAATACACTACTTAAGAAAACCTGGTAAAATCCCCGCCGGCCGGTACCAGTGAAATTGTTAATGGCAATTTTAAGTGCTGATTTGCCACGTGCTCCGCGGTGAAGGAAAACATCGTGAGGAAACCTGCATGTCTGAGGAATAAGAAAAAAAAATATTTCGAAGACATGTGAAGTTCGCCAACACGCATTGGGGCAGCGCGGCAGACACTTCCTTGCCCTAAAACCCTTTCAGAAATGAGGGGAGGCCTCTGCCTAGCAGTAGGACGTATATAGGCTGTAACTAACCGACGAGCGTGTATGCGGGTTACACAGAGCCAAAACCCCTTATTTGGGCTACAATAGCTGTGGAGGGTAAAACGTAGGGTTATATACTCTTTGACAGAGGGTGTTAAAACTTAAATGCAGAATATTTTTTTAAAAACTGGTGCAATACACTCTCGTATTAAAAATAATGAAATACATCTATTCCTTTTTTTTTGAAAAATCTTTTTAAACGAGGGTGGTAATATTTTATTTAACACACAGCCCAAACCACTGGACGTAGAAATATGAAATTGGAACAATCACTCCCTCTTATTACGTAGGTGTAGTCATCAACTAAGAAAAAGTTTAGGGAAATTCAAGGCCTTTGAGTGTGAAATGGCAAAATAGGGTGTTACAATTTATACTACATATCTTTTTTATTTTACAGAGCAATTACTTATTTGTATGTAAAAATCAATTTTTCATCATGGCCGTGACAGATTTTTTAAAATATTAATGGCAATATAGTATATTATACATACCATAATACCAATGAGATAATGGAATTTGCTTATTTATGAAAAAATCTTGATTTGTCTAAACCATAGAATACTATAATACACAATAGAATGGCTTAAATAGCTGTCAAAATTATTTTGTAGGAGATTCGGCGTCGCCGGGAGCACACATTAATGACACACATACAATCAATAAACTAGAACAGCTATTTCAAACAAAAAATGTGTGCTACTCTGTGTTCGGTAGAATGATCAGTAGATAATAGTAGATTGTATTGTTAAATAGGTAAATTATATTATCGAGAACAATTTTTAAATTTTGTCATTTATTTTGTATATTATATTTGCATATTTAATATAATATTACATAATATTATATCACAATTACATTTTTATCTCAATCTCAATTATTAATATAACATTTAAATTACAAATATATTTATTTAAATTAGAATAAAAGTCGTTCATAAATGCTGGGCACGCGAGAGTTAAAATGGACGAATTTATTCCACATTGACTTTGACGTGGAAACCTAAAAATAAAATAAAAAATAATGAGCAGATTTAAATATAAAAAATTTAGCCTAATTACTATAATTTATATATGTCTCTACTAAAAAAATGTGTATAATAATATATTCGTCATATACTTAAGCACCCACAGAAGAAATGTCGCATCTGAACAAATTAATTTCATAATCTATATTCACGAGATGGCGTCTTAGGAATAATTTGTTTTATTATTAATATATAATACTTTTTTTATTGATTAAGTATCTTATTAACCGACGAAAATTAATTTCTTGGTTTTTACTGACATTTCTTGAATTTTTTGTGCAATATCTAAATACTAACGCCGGCATATTATTATCAAGAGATTTTTTTAATCAACACAACACGTGACAACTCCACAAGCGCCTAGCGAGTGACTGATCAAAATGCAGTGTAAACACCGCAGTTGAATGGAACAGAGTAGCTGAATGCAGTGTCGCCTCTAGTACGTAGTACATAATAGCTCAATGTCGCATTATAACTACTCTATTTTCTGGATGTTAGCGCTGTTAGTCTAAGCGACTCTTACAGGTTCATCTGACTCAGCTAATTAAAAAAAGGGAAAGGAAAAGAGGTGAGGATGATGATGAATGGTTTATGATTTGGTATTGTTACCATCATGTCGCCTTTTTAGGCGTTTTTTTTGAGCTATCTAACCGCAGTCCGAGGGGGGGGAGTGCGGACCCCCGTCTCTGACTGCTCAGCGCGCGTCGGTCGATGGTCTGGGCGGTGAGAACCGCCCAGGAACATTTTAACTACTACAAACCCGATTTGCTGTTTTGACAGACTGAGTAAATTTAGACTTTTAATTAATGTTCAAAATCATCATTGAAAAAATAGTGTGCAATTTGGTATTTTTAGATCACAAAAACGATTTTTAGATCAAAACACATCTCGTGTTGACATTTATACGTGTGAATTGACATGTTAGTGACATTTTAGTGACTACACGGGCTCCACCCACTCCACCGTTCTATTATGTATGTATTATAGTATTCTATGGTCTAAACTCATTGACATATTGTCATATATCAAAAATAGCAGGGCTCCCAATACACTCCCTTGATATAATCATCGAACATAATTTTTCGAAAAACTGCTTTTGAGTTTTTGTGATATGTACATAAGATTGTAGTTTAAGCTCTGTTAGTGAGATAACTTTGGACTACTTTCAAAGAGTTTACAAGTATTCCGATAATAATGTGTTTAAGTTGCTTGAATAATATTTAATGTATCACAATCAAATGCTTTTGATAGATCTAAAAATAGCCCAACACAAATGCATTTCGTTCAAAATGCATATTAGGTGTTAAAATATGAATAATAGCTGTAAGTATTTTTCCGATTGTGTTTCATAAGGAACTTGTTTTTTCTTCCATTTTTGGAAGAAAAAACAAGTTCCTCCAGGGGACGATGGACGAGGTTCAAAATTGATTTGACTCATTGATATGATTTGGTATCAGTGATTTTTAGAATTTAATTGCAAACTTTTCATAGCTATCAACTTTGATTATTTGTTCCAGACCGTACTTGCAACTGGTATGAAAACGGAAGATGTCGACTACAGAACAAAATGTTCCCGTTTTTGATAGGCGTCGTGTGCGCCGCAATCATACTGTTCTCTTTACTGATCACTATTACAACGGTTGTGTTCATGAAGAAGGCGGCAAAACGAGCGATGAGCGAACTACCTGTGGAACAGGAAGTTGGACTAGCCAATAATAATGGAATGTAGATAATAAATTAGAAAATATTCATTTGTGTATATGGGGTTGCTAATTTACATTAGGAAGAAACTCTTGGATTGAAAATTATACTGGCTCCCTTACTCTTCCAACGGAAATACAGCAGCTAGTCTTCTGCTGTCCGTGGGGACTCCTAGATAGAAAGGAAGCCCTACCTCTACATGCTCTGATGTTCATTCCAATTTCACTCGACTTTTCGAAGAAATTACTTCGAGTACCTTTAGTCGTCTTTATTTCTGTTCATGGCTAGTGAACATGGTGACTGTATATTAAGGCGATGTTTACCTTTCGAATCAATAGGTACTACCTATTTAAATTTTTTCAATAATTTTATATAATTATGCTCAACAAAACGATCGTAGAAATTCATGTCAACGTCGTGGTAGTGACATGTTATATTAAAATTATATGAAAGAAAGATAGATATAGCAAATAGTGAAAGATATATGCGTGACACGTGTAATTATACAAGCACGTCAAACGGAGTTTCTACATGTGTATGAGTGTGTATTTTTGTATGTACGCTGTTAGTGTGCGTTTTGATGTTATGGTATTAGTGAAATAATGGACATTTATACGTGTGATTTTATGAGTGTTTACTGTTTGCAATATTCTATTATACACCTAGTCATAGCAACTTAATGATACGAAATTAAGGATTATAGTCTATATTTACAAAAGTAAACAATAATTTTAAATAATTGTATTTTATTAAATATAAGTAATCTACCATTTAATTGCATATTTAAGGTATAAAGTATATTTCGAGGAAGTGGGAAGTCTGCGAACACTCCGTTGGTACTAACTTCGCAGCTTTCTCTGCTCCATTATCATAGAATTTCATTCCAGTTGCTAACTTGTGCTTGTGAAGTTGTTTACTCCGTTCAAAAGTGTCAAATAATTAAATTTAAAAATAACTGTAAACAATAAAAGGGTTTTAAATTTTTTAAATAGTTTATTGATGCAATAAACATATGGATCTAGATGGGTATATTATTATTAATCTATAAATAAGTATAATCTGGAACCCTTTTAGAAATAAGAGGTACAAGTGTCCAGTGAAATGTAAACTTTTCAATTAAAAGTAATAAATTAAAGTGATAAATGTTTTTACTATGTACTTATATTTGATTAATATAAACTAACCTATTTTAGTAGTAGTAGTAGTTACCTAACAGTGTAGTGGTGGTGTAAGAATATCCGTTATCCCAATCGTCTCGTGAGTGTCGTAATGGATGACGAAGGAAAATTGAAACGGAAGATAAGTAACAGCATCTTCCTAATAGCAACTCAAAGTTATAAAAACTACGGTTGCCAGCTTGTCTGCCAAACGGGGCAATTTTGGCAAATATCTCCCGAATTAACCTACCTGGGACAAATTGTCCGACAAGGTAAGTCCAACATCGACAGGGAGATCAATCTACAGATTCAACTCGGTTGGGAAGCGTTCGGGAAATTACGACACATCTTCTCGTCAGCTATACCTCAAAACCTGAAAACTAGATTGTACAACCAGTGCGTGTTGCCAGTGATGACTTACGGATCTGAGACGTGGTCCTTCACTGCTGGCCGTATAAGGACGCTCAAGGTCAGCGAGCTATGGAGAGGACTATGCTCGGGGTTTCTCTGCGTGATAAACTTAGAAATGAGGATATCCGCAGTAAAACCAGAGTGACCGACGTAGCCCAATGGATTAGTAAGCCGAAGTAGCAATGGGCTGGCCATATAGCTCGAAGGACCGACAACCGATTGGGAGAAAAGGTTCTCAAGTGACAGCCTCGAACCAGTAGGCGTAGTGTAGGGCGACCCCCACTTGATGGAGTGACGACCTGGTAAGACACGCAGGAAGTCCATGGATGCAGGTGGCTCAGGACCGTGCTTTGTTGCATTCCTTGGGGTAGGCCTATGTTCAGCAGTAGACTTTTGATGGGTAATGGTATAGTACGGTGTTCCATAAAATGACCGAATTAATGGAATCAATAAGTAAAAGCGAGAGCTTGTTGATAGTTGATCTAATTATCAACGCAATGAGACAGTTCACGCAGTCCTGTGTTTAGCAGTGGATGGTTCTTGTCACTCACCAAGCGCACACAGCAGCATTAAACTGCTATTTAACGCTGGTATTCTATAAGAGCGTGGACCTTCTCCGTTAGAACCAACCTATTTATGCTATAATCATAATACACTATTCCGTATTTCAAACTGCCTTTGCGAGAATGTCGGCTTACTTCACGTAGTGAGAGGTTACATCATTACTCGTTGAAGGTTGGCACTTGAATTCTCTCAAATCTGTCTATATGATTAACTGATATAAAAGACAATCAACTATAATAATAATAATATTTATTGTTTCTCACATAACTTATACAAACAAATCATATTGAAGGTCTGTAGCCCGTGGTAGTTGGAAACTGTGTTACAGGCTACAGCATCTTCCCCGTTTCAGTGACACATAGTTGTAATGTGACAAACTATTATAGAGAATGGTATAAAAAAATTAATTATAATGACATCAAAAATAACATATAGGCTAAGAAAGTAAAAAGAGAGAAAAAAATGTGTGTGTGCGTGCGAGCGTGCGTGCGTGCGTTCGAGCGTGCGTGCGTGCGTGCGTGTGTGCGTGCGTGCGTGCGTACGTCATAGTCAAAATTACTTAACCACTTTAGTAAAATTGGTTTAATATTATGATAACTTAGATGCGCGGTTTTAAAAATTGTATTTAATTTGTTGTACAGTAATATAGCAGAGTAGTTAAAGTGTCTTCTAGCAAAGTTGCTCTTCTAGGCAGGTAAGGGATAGCGGATCGCCCTCTTATCACTTATTTGTATTTTAGAAGCAGTAGGTACTTTTGTGATATTTACGAATAGAATGGAAAATATATAACTTTCGTATGGTAAGTATGTCACATTTTTTTGTATAAGTCCTCAGTCGGGTGTCTAAAAAATAGACCTTTCATCATCATCATCACCATCATTACAGCCCTTCACAAGTCCACTGCTGAACATAGACCTCCCCCAAGTAATGCCACAAACCACGGTCCTGAGCCACCTGCATCCATCGATTTCCTGCATGTCTTACCAGGTCGTCACTCCATCTAGTGGGGGGTCGCCCTACACTACGCCTACCGGTACGAGGCTGCCACTCGAGAACCTTTCTTCCCCATCGGTTATCGGTTCTTCGAGCTATATGGCCAGCCCATTGCCACTTCAGCTTACTAATCCGTTGGGCTATGTCGGTCACTCTGGTTTTACTGCGGATATCCTCATTTCTGAGTCTATCACGCAGAGAAACTCCGAGCATAGCCCTCTCCATAGCTCGCTGAGCGACCTTGAGCGTCCTCATACGGCCAGCAGTGAAGGACCACGTCTCTGATCCGTAAGTCATCACTGGCAACACGCACTGGTTGTACACTTTAGTTTTCAGAGATTGAGGTATACCTGACGAGAAGATGTGTCGTAATTTCCCGAACGCTGCCCAGCCGAGTTGAATCCGTCGATTGTCCTCTCGGTCGAATTTGGACTAACCTAGTCGGACTATTTGTCCCAGGTAAACGTACTCGTCAACAACTTCGAGCATAGTGCTCCCCACAACTACCGGCATAGGTGTGACATGGACATTGAACATAATCTTTGTTTTGTCCATGTTCATCTTAAGACCTATCCGTTGGGAGACACCATTGAGGTCATTGAGCATATTGCTAAGGTCCTCCAGCGATTCTGCCATAAGGACTATATCGTCGGCAAAGTGAAGGTAAGTGATGTACTCGCCATTGATGTTAATACCGTATCCTTTCCAGTCCAGTAGCTTGAAAACGTCTTCCAACGCAGCGGTGAAGAGTTTCGGGGATATAACGTCACCCTGTCTTACACCTCTCTGCAGTTGGATAGGTTTCGAGCTCTGGTTCTGTACTCGGATAGCCATCGTAGCCCTACTGTACAAACACTTCAGCACTTCGATATACCGATAGTCATCTTGGCACCGCTGAAGGGACTGTAGAACCGCCCAAATTTTGACGGAATCAAAGGCTTTCTCATAGTCCACATACGCCAGGCAAAGTGGCAGACAGTACTCTTCGGTCTTCTGTACAATCTGCCGCAGGGTATGTATGTGGTCTATGGTATTGAAGCCTTTTCGGAAACCGGCTTGTTCGGGAGGCTGGAAGTCGTCGAGTCTGCGTGCGAGACGATTCGTAATGACTCTCGAAAACAGCACGTAGACGCGGCTCAGAAGGGAAATCGGTCTGTAGTTCTTCAAGAGAGCGTTGTCGCCTTTCTTAAAGAACAAGACCACCACACTTCTGCTCCACGCCTCCGGAGTAGTGCCACCATGGAGGACGGAATTGAAGAGCTTCTGAAGGACTTCAAGTACCGGTGTTCCACCCGCTTTCAGAAGCTCCTCTGTAATTCCATCCTCGCCTGGGGCCCTGCCGTTTTTAAGGTGCTGGAGAGCCATTCTAATCTCGCTCAGACTGACGTCCGGGATATCATCGGAATAGTGTCGGGTAAGACTTGCTCTTATATCGTTACTCACACTTGCGTTTGGCTCCAACGATGATGTGTACAGCTGCCCATAGAACCTCTCAATCTCACTCAAAATCTCAGGTGTCCCGGAAACGATGCTGCCACACTCAGTCTTCACCTTTGACAGTTGGCTCTTTCTGGCAGACAGATCTCTGGCAAAGACTTTGGAGCCCTGGTTCCGCTCGATCGCTTCTTTAATACGAGCAGTATTAAAGTTGCGTAAGTCTTGCCGCATGCATTTGGAGATCTGTCTGTTCATATTGCCTGTATGCTGTCAAATCTGTTGACGATTGCAGCCTCATCTCCCGTCTAACAGCCATGAGATTAAGAGTGTGATCGGAGAGTTTTTGTATTCTTCTGCGGCGGGTCTTGCAGAACTTAGTTCCGACCGCATGGACAGTTTCCACGAGCTTGTCATTCATATCGTCCACTGCATTGCAATCTTATAGGCACTGAAAGCGGTTACGTAACTCGAGCTGAAAAGTCTCGGGATTCTGGATCAGAGCACGAGGGGGACGGAGCGTTGACTTCATTAGACGAGACCTCTCCAACTTAACGTTTAGGTTCAGTGTGCCTCTAACCATTCGGTGATCGCCGCCGGTTTTCACTCTTGCGATCACTGAGACATCACTGAACAGTTGGCGTCTGGTCGTCATAATGAAGTCAATCTCATTTTTTGTCGAACCGTCGGGGCTCGACCAGGTCCACTTCCTGTGGGGCCGCTTCTGGAAGAAAGAGTTCATCATAAAGAGTCCCTCTTTCTCCATAAAGTCAGCCAGCTGCTGGCCCCTACGATTCCGTTGCCCTACTCCCGTTCCCCCTAACTTCAGCTCACCGCCTTCTCTTGTGCCTAGTTTTGCGTTGAAGTCTCCCATCAACACCTTGTAGTGGGTTTTGGAGGAATGCATGGCTCTAGAAATATCCTCATACATTTCCTCCACCTCCTCATCGGGATGTGCCGAGGTTGGTGCGTAGACCTTTATGACCTTCAGCGAATACCGTTTAGTGATTCTGAGTATCAGGTACGCGACTCTCGTCGACACACTCCCAATCTTGACAACGTTGTTGACGAGAGACTTGTGGACGATAAATCCGACACCTCCTTGGGACAGATGGTCGCCCTCCCGGTGATAGAATAAGTTGCCGGACTCGAGGATTACCGTGTCCTCCCCTCTCTCTTCGGACCTCAGATAATCCAATAATATGCCAGCGCAACTTGTCTACCTCTTCTTCCAGCTCCAGTATCTTCTCGTCAATCCTCAGAGTGTATGCGTTATACGTTGCCAGGTCGAGTCGTCGTAGGTGGCAACCGAACCGCCACCGGAGATTCTTAGCACCCCCTGCCCCGCCATTACCATGATCGCCACCGTAGCCAGGAATAGCGGGGCCGCCGGGGACTGGGGGTCGTTTTTTGTGTCGTTGCTCATGGGGGGATATTTGCCATAGTTGCCACGCTTGGCGAGCGGGTTGGCAACCGCAGTTTTTTATTATGTTATTGTTGTTATTAGGAAGATACTGCTGCCCATCTCTTTTCTGTGTCCCTCTGTCGCCTCTTACGACACCCACGGGAAGATATGGGGTATTGGATATTCTCAGCCACCACTACACGGCTAAGTAATTTCATTTTATTACTGTTGCATGAATAAGTCAACTAGCGCCATCTAGTGTCAGGAACGAGAGCGAGGGGAGCATTGAGAAAATGACATCACAAATCGCTCAACTGACAGCGCCTAGTCGAAACTCGAACGCTCGGTACCTTCCGCGTGTTTACTTGAACATTCTGGATATTTCTTTGCTAATTTAAATATATAGGCGCTGCAAGATGCGATGGAGGCAGTGTTGATTTGGGCGAAACAAGCGAAGCTTCGGAGTGGAATTAAGTGAATTAGTGTGTTTAAATTATTGGTGTTTTAACTTTAATTGTGTAAAGTAAATTAAAGTGTTAATTTAGGTAATTTTATCGGCAATTCTTATTGTCACGAACCTCAAGCTCGTAACAATTGGTGTCAGAAGTGGGATAAAATCATGCCGATTTTACCTAAGGAGGAAACGGAGGGTGTCCGTACCCGAAGTCAACGCCAGCAGGAGACGGACCAACGAAGATTTGGTGGTGCAACGCCGCAGACGACGGAGGGCCAGCCACCGGCTGCAGGCCCGTCGGTAGCTCCTACATCTGCAGCACCTGACTTAGGTGCTCTGATGGTGATGCTGCAGGAGCAGGCTCGCCGACAGGAGGAGCAGGCCCGTCAGTTGAAAGAGCAGCTGCAAAGCGGACAAGAGGAACAGGCCCGCCGGCAGGAGGAACAGGCCCGCTGGCAGGAGGAACAGGCCCGTCGTTTAGAAGAGCAACTCCAACGCGATAAAGAAGAGCAGATGCTCCTCATGAAGGACCTTCACGCTATCTTCGGAAAAGAGATACGGGAGGTGAAGGATAAGGTTGCTCAACATGACAACCGCCTGTCGGAGGCCGAAACCCGAATCGACCAAGTAAACAATCGGGTTGACAACGTAATGGCTGACGTGAAGAAAACGCTGGACGACCTCAAACTTGGGGATGAAACAACAGCTCCCGTAGTAGCTACAACACCTTCGCTACGTGGATTCCAGTGCCGCCGTTCGACGGTACCTCTTCCTGGTCAGCCTACAAGATCCAGTTCGAGGCTGTTATGAAGGCGAACGGCTGGAATGAAAGTCAGGCCATGACTGCTCTCACACTAGGCCTGCGCGACCAGGCCTTAACAGTTCTGGAAGCTCTCGGTGAGGAAGTGACTTATGAGCAACTCATTGAGGCATTGGAGGCGAGGTATGGCGACGCTCACCTGGAACACGTCTTTCGTGCGCAGCTTAAAGATCGCGTGCAGCGCATCAACGAAAACCTGCAGCAGTGGGCTCTAGAGGTAGAGAAGCTGGTGCGAAAGGCATACCGGTCTGTACCTGCGCTCATTGGAGGGAACCTGGTGCAGACATTCATCGACGGCATCCGTGACCTGGAAGTCAGAGCTGCTGTGAGGCTCGGGCACCATGAGACGCTTAAGGACGCCTTGGCCCATGCACTGGAGGTAGAAGCCGTGCGGCAGGATCATCGTTCCCATCGCGTCAGGGAGGTTGCAGCAGCTACAGTTCGCGACCGCAACAAAGGATACAGCCCTAGGTGCTATGGCTGTGGGGAAAAGGGCCATCTTCGATCCAGCTGCCCTAAGCGAACCCTAGAAAGGGAAGGTGAACGATCCCAGGAGGGTAGTGCGGCCAACAGCACCGCCCAGCAGCAGCAGGGAAACGAGTAAAAGCCAGAACTGCGGGGCGGGTGCTGGCTGATGTTAAAAGAGCCCCAAGGATCTCGATCTCACAAACCCATGATGGGAACAGTCTAATCATCAAGGGCGAGGTCAACGGAATGCCGTGTAAACTGACCATAGACACCGGAGCCTCTCGTACGGTTGTTAGTTCCCAACTTATAAGTCAGTTCCTTGGGGACTCCGCATACAACCGAGAACGCATTAATTTGGTAACAGCCACCGGTCAGCGTATACCCGTCCGTGGAGAGAAGGAGATGGAGTTGAAGCTAGGCAACGTGATCTACCTGCATAATGTCATCGTGGCTGATATAATGGACGACTGCATCCTAGGCCTAGACTTTATGAGGAATAATTGTTGTGAGATCGACGTTAAGCAAGGTGTTTTGAAATGTGGACAGGAGGAACTTTTTATGGAAGGTGCGTTACCAGGGAACGTGTACAGCATCAAGAAGATTGTTCTTCCGCCGAGATCGGAAACGATTGTTCCGGTTAGTCTTCCACGAAACGCTGGGCAAGCTCACCGTTGTGTACTTGTGGAAAGGGTAAACAATGACCTTCCATGGAAAGTAGCTCGAACCTTGGTCAGGACCACTGACATCTCAGGAGTACGTGTGCTGAACCTTTGCGACCGGGAACAGGTTATAGAAAAAGGTACACTGGTTGGTACTTGTGAGGAAGTGGATTGGTTACGTCAGTGCCAATATATATCGAGTGGGACCCCCAGCAAGGATTCAGAAACGAGAGTGACCACACTTTTGGAAGACTGTCGCAGTGTTCTGTCCCCGAACGAATTGGTGAAGGCGAAGAAGTTGTTACTCGAGTACGCCGATGTATTCTCATCAAACGATGCTGACATAGGAAAGACTGGTTTAGTTCAACACAAAATAAACACAGGTGAAGAGTTGCCTATCCGTCAGCGGCCAAGACGATTGCCGGTAGCACGTGAAAAGGAAGTGGAAACCATGATTGAGGGAATGGTGAGGGATGGTGTTATTGAACCTTCATCTAGTCCATGGTGTTCACCCGTGGTACTGGTAAAGAAGAAGGATGGCAGCATGCGGTTCTGTGTTGATTACCGCCGTCTGAACGACGTTACAAAGAAGGACAGCTATCCCTTGCCAAGAATTGATGACACGCTGGACATGCTTACAGGAGTAAAATGGTTTAGCACGCTGGATCTAAAAAGTGGCTACTGGCAAGTTGAAATTGACCCTAAGGACAAGGAGAAAACTGCGTTCTCGACGGGAAAGGGTCTGTGGCAATTCAAAGTAATGCCGTTTGGGTTGTGCAATGCTCCAGCAACGTTTGAAAGGCTGATGGAACTTGTACTTACCGGGCTAATTGGCGATGCCTGTCTGGTCTACTTGGATGACATCATCATCGTGGGCCGTACGTTTGAGGAACACCTTCAAAACCTGGAACGCGTGCTCATGAAGATTAAGAGTGCCAACCTTAAGTTGAGTCCGAAGAAATGTTCACTATTCAAACGGCAAGTCAACTTTTTGGGGTATGTAGTGTCGGAAGAAGGTATCCGCACGGATCCAGAGAAAATCGCAGCTGTAAAGGATTGGCCGGTTCCAAAAGACAAGACGCAGGTTAGAGCATTTTTGGGTTTGTGCTCCTATTACCGACGTTTTGTGAAGAACTTTGCAGATATAGCCAAACCTCTGCATAAGCTAACCGAGGAGAAGCGACATTTCTGCTGGGATGAAAGTTGTAACATCGCATTCCAGGAGCTCAAGGACCGTCTGTGCAAAACACCTATTTTGGGATACCCTGATGCAAGCAAAGAATTTATAGTTGACACAGACGCAAGTGATATAGGACTTGGCGGTGTGTTGTCTCAACGTAATGGTGACCAAGAGGTCGTGATAGCGTACTTCAGCAAGTCGTTGTCAAAACCGGAAAGGAACTACTGTGTCACAAGACGCGAATTGCTAGCTGTGGTAAAGTCGTTGCAACATTTTAGCAAATATCTTCTGGGACGAAAATTTCACTTACGAACTGACCATGCTGCACTAAAATGGCTATTGCAGTTTAAAAACCCAGAAGGACAAGTTGCGAGGTGGATTGAACTACTGCAGGAATACGACTTTGAGATCGAACATCGCAGCGGGAAATCTCATGGCAACGCAGATGCATTGTCAAGAAGACCTTGTCCTGAAGATTGCAAACATTGTACTAGGCAAGAGAGTAAGGAAGTGGTATCCGTGAGGATGCTCAGGGCAGACCACCTCAGCAACGAGTGGAAGGACAGCTTACTACATGCACAGCAGGAAGATCCGGACATCAAGCCGATTCTGGAATGGATAAAGGCCAGTGCTCCCAAGCCCAAGTGGAGTGACGTCTCAGCGATGAGTTCGACCACTAAAAGCTATTGGGCCCAGTGGGACAGCTTGCTGCTTCAGGATGGAGTTCTGTGTCGTAAATGGGAAAACGTTCGGGGAGACAGCTGTCATTTGCAAATGGTTGTCCCTAAAGTTAAAGTACCGGATGTTCTACAGCTGTACCATAATGATTGTTCAGGAGGCCATCTGGGAGTTAAACGAACTCTACTGAAGATCCGAGAACGGTTTTACTGGGTCCACTGTCGAAACGATGTCGAGGACTGGTGTCGCAAATGTACAAGTTGTGCGGCTGTAAAGGGACCTCAGACTCGTAGTAGAGGTGCATTGAAGTTGTACAATGTTGGTGCACCATGGGAGAGAATAGCCATTGACGTGGCGGGGCCGTTTCCGGAGAGTGAAAGCGGTAACAAGTATTTCATGGTTGTGATGGATTACTTCACTAAGTGGCCAGAAGTCTTCGCCATTCCAAATCAAGAAGCTTCAACAGTTGCAGATAAACTAGTTCATGAAGTCTTCTGTCGTTTTGGAGTACCTTTAGAGATTCACAGCGATCAAGGAAGGAATTTTGAGTCTCAAATATTCCAGGAAACTTGCCGAGTTATGGGTACTCATAAAACAAGAACGACTTCTTATCACCCGCAATCTGATGGAATGGTGGAACGATTTAATCAGACATTGGAGAGGTACCTAGCAAAAGTTGTAGACAATCGGCAACGAGATTGGGACAAGCACATACAACCGTTTTTGTTGTCATATCGAAGTTCTGTTCACGAAAGTACAGCAGTGACACCAGCTTTCGCAAACTTTGGAAGAGAATTACGGCTGCCTGCAGACCTGATCACCGGGATACCACCCGATGCTCCACGCAGTATAACCGATTATGCAAATGACTTGCGGAAAAAAATGAATGACGTTTATGAGCACGTCAGACAATCGGGCCAGCAAATGTCTGAAAAGATGAAAACCCGGTATGACCGCAAAATGAACAACAAAGGGTTCGACGAAGGTTCACTTGTGTGGTTGCACAATCCAGTCCGCAGCAAAGGGAAATCTCCTAAGCTTCAAGCTAAATGGGACGGCCCGTACCGGATTGTAACCAGGATCAACGATGTGACCTACCGGATACAGAAAGGCGCAAGAGGGACTCCTAAGATCGTCCATGTGGATCGCTTGGCGCGTTATTATGGGACCGATAATGCTCGGGACGAGCATGTCTTAGGAGGGGGCAGTGTTGCATGAATAAGTCAACTAGCGCCATCTAGTGTCAGGAACGAGAGCGAGGGGAGCATTGAGAAAATGACATCACAAATCGCTCAACTGACAGCGCCTAGTCGAAACTCGAACGCTCGGTACCTTCCGCGTGTTTACTTGAACATTCTGGATATTTCTTTGCTAATTTAAATATATAGGCGCTGCAAGATGCGATGGAGGCAGTGTTGATTTGGGCGAAACAAGCGAAGCTTCGGAGTGGAATTAAGTGAATTAGTGTGTTTAAATTATTGGTGTTTTAACTTTAATTGTGTAAAGTAAATTAAAGTGTTAATTTAGGTAATTTTATCGGCAATTTTTATTGTCACGAACCTCAAGCTCGTAACATTACTTTATTTAAGAGAAATATTGAAAATAAACTTAACAACACGATACATTGGGCTAGGATCCCAAATTTTTCTATAGGTATAGAATATTTTATTTAATATTATGCCTTGATTTATATATTACACTAGATCAGTAATAACCGCGCCAAAGCGTTACCACTGCACATATGGCCACAGCCACATGCCTAGCTAACGTCAGTTCAGTGTTCAATGTGACGCCGACAGAGTTGAGCCGCGACAAAAAATTAGTAAATGCGTAGTAAAAGAATGCTATTCAAGGTCTCAAAAACGTAATAAATCAAGCGGAATCACTTTTAACACATAATTTTTAGTTCTTGTTTTCATATAAACGTAAAAAACCTCAAATAATTAAATAAAATTATCGAATATTGCCATTTAGGTTCAATGTTGCCACTTTTCCGCATTTGTGATTATCCTACATTAATGGGAGACTATATAATTAATGGAGTAAGTTAATTTGTTACCTCTGATTTTAAATATTTTGGAAATTATAATAAATTAACTATGTCTTAACTTTAATAAAATAAGTTAATTATTATTTTAGTTTATTCATGAATTACTCTATTAAATATATTTTTTTACCTACTTATTTTATATTAATTATAATTTCGTAATAAATATTTATACTTTTTTATTACCTAGTTTACATTGTTTGATTTATTAGTACTTACTTATAAAATATGTTTTGTTCATCATTATGTTTACTTTCTATTACTACGAGCATCTCGTAAGCTTTTTATCCTTTTTTTTCTAACGGGACGCAATAAAGATTTTTAAATAAAATATACTTTTTTAATATAAAGACAATTAACTGCACCTTAAAAAAACTCTTTTTTATAACGTAATTTAGGTAAAATTTCATATACTAAGCCACACCAACCCGCCATTGCACGTTTGTGTGTCTATCTTTATCTAATCTCGCGAACGAAAATAGCGACGATATTGTTTTCGCAACTTGTGTAAGTGAGATAGATAAGTATATGTTTATTTAAAATTGTTATTAGTTTCAAAGCTACGTCGTCGCGTTTGGATAGTGGTTACACTTTTTTCGACGCGCGATAATGTGGTTTGCTCCTCTATAAGTATAGTGTTGTATAACTCAATGATATTATGTTCATAAATTAATAATGTCACCTAAATCACGACTGTAACTAAGAATTTTTATAGGGCACACACCTGATGGCAAGTGGATGCTTAGACATCTTCATCTATCCTCAATTAAGAATCAAAACGCATCCCTGAGGACTAAGATGGTATACCTCGTTTCCAGTACAAAAGGTCTGCGGTTCTCTACATACGAAACACAGCGAAAAATAAGCTGCAATTTTACGCCGGTATTTATTCTGTGTGGCCCTACTCCGGTCGAGTCGACCCATTCGTGCTACAGCTGCATCTGGCTCTACCACGCAAAGTCTCTTCGAGTTTTTTTGTTGAGTGATTCTGTTAATGTCTACTTTACACGGTGGATAATTTCATTATGACGATGTTTACCTTTCGAATCAATATCATCACCTATTTGAGAAGTTTTTGACTCTTGAGTTCAACACAATGATCGTAGAAATTAATTTCAAGGACGTGACAGCAGCATGTAATTTAAAAAGAGTAGACATAGAAAAAGGAAAAGACAATACATTAAATTATATTAAAGACAGAGCAGATAGTTGAAGTTATATTATATGTGACACTGTAATTATACGAGCGTTTTTTTTAAAATAGTAAATACGAAAGAAAACGCAAAGTGATGCAAAATCCCTACGCAGCGCCAGTGAATCGAGCCGATCAGAAAGAATTCGGTCGTCGTCGATCGGAATCGCTCCGCGCTGAATGCGGTCAAGTGGAAGGGGCTGGCACTGGGGTGCCCCGGCCCAGAAATGAGAACAGTATTCCATGTGAGGCCGAACTTGCGCTTTGTAAAGATGCAAGCAATGTGCCGGCATGAAATACTGTCTCGCTCTGCTGAGCACGCCAAGCTTTTTAGAGGACAATTTCGCCTTCCCCTCCAAGTGACTACGAAACTGCGCAGTATTCGATATGTCGACACCGAGGAGGAGAACAGATGTCTCTCGAACTCCAGTCCGAGGCACAAAGGAATGTTCTAATTTATATCCCGGGTAGAAGAGATATGAAGTATCAGCTGGATAGGATACCTGAGTCTCGGTTAAAAAGAACAAAGCCGGCTTCGTCGTCTCCAGATGGTAATGGACAGCGTTAAGGTTGGAATGAAGTCCCCTCTTACAAATGATTACCACTCCGGTTTGAGCCGGCCCATCCATGCGACAGCAAAAGCTGCCGTGTGGCTCTACCACTGCGTCTTAAACTGTTTGTATTTTTGTATGAATGCTGTTAGTGTTTTGATTAGTTACCATTACCGTAATACTCCACTGCTGATTATAGGCCTCCCCCAAAGATTGCCTCGTACGGGGACATTTGACATACTTGCCACGTGTTTGGTAGACGGGTTGGCTAGTAGTTTTTTTATTCGTTAGTTGCTTTTTTTTAGGATAGAGTGATAAACGAGCACACAGTCCACCTGATGATAAGTGGTTTCTGTGGCCCATAGACATCTACATCTATCCTCATATGCGTTTCAAAATGCAGATGCGTCGTCACCCGTGAGGACTAAGATGGAATGCCTCGTTTCCAACAAAAAGTGTCTCCGGTTCTCTACACTCACCATACGAAGCACAGCAGCATTAAGCTATTATTTCACGCTGGTATTCTGTGAGAGCGTGATCCTTCCCCGGTCGAGCCAATCCTACGAGTGCTACGACTATACTACTAATATAAATGCAGCATGGCTCTACCACGTAGAATTAATTAATCTATTAGGAATTGAATTAATTAAAATATTAGGAAGCCGAAACTGCCCATTTGCTGTTTTATTTTAGACTCGCTATTATATATATACGGGTTTTGAAACACTCCCGAAAACGAAGACAGACGATAGTAATAGTAACAAAGATACCTTTGGAATTGGGACTACAAGAAAATGGATCCAAATGAAAAAAAAATCATCTTTTCACAACGATTTATTAGCTTTATTCGCGCTCCATCGTGTTAGTACAGCTAAATGAAACAATAATTTCATAAAAGATTTCATGGGTAGAGTGAGCGAAGTACAGTAAGACCTAATGTATTCTTTCTTACGGAGCTAGATGAGAGTTCAGCGTCCGCGCTTTTATTGACCCTATAATCAGCTGGTACCATTTTCACTTTCACTGCTGGTTTTACGTTTAAGTATTTTCATGATATATGCCTACGAACAACTGCAACACCAGGGGAATTGCAGATGCGTTGCCGGCCTTTTAAAAAGGAGTAGCCTCTTTTCTTGAAGGTCCCTAAGTCGTATCAAAACAACAACGCATCTTCATTTTGATTTTTAATCGAGGATAGATGTAGATGTCTATGTGCCACAGCAGCCACTTATCATTAGGTGGACCATGTGCTCGTTTATCACCTTTATTCTATAAAAAAGTTGTTATTTGTATGCGGAGCACAGATAATGCGCATATTATAACTGAAAATATTTTATTCCTCAGAGGCACTGTCATGAGTCGGTCGCAGAACATCGTCCGACTATCCGCAGGGTGTCAGCTTCCAGTCATGAAGGATGCTAAATATCTAACCACTACAGGATTTTCACCGATAGTAAAAACCACAGGTGTAAAAAAACAACCATATACATCCATGCAACATTTAATACAACAAATAGTACATTATAAAATCTTACTTTATAACGCGTGCAACATAAACAGGTACATAGACACCATTGAAGGGGCTACTTTTATATTAATTAGCTTTTTATAAGAGATAAAGGAAAAATGAGGATATCCGCGGTAGAACCAGAGTGACCGACATAGCCCAACGGATAGTAAACTAAAGTGGCAATAGGCCGGCCACATACCTCGAAGAACCGATAACCGATGGGGAAAAAATATCTCGAGATACGACCTGGTAAGACATGCAGGAAGTCGATGGATGCAGGTGGCTCATGACCGTTCTTTGTAGCATTCCTTGAGATAGGCTTATATTCAGCAGTGGACTTGTGAAGGGCTGTAATGATGATGAAGAGTTGAAGGATTTAATCACAGAATAGCCATAAAAGTGTAGCTGAAGTTGATAGTTTTGAGCAAGACTAAAATTTAGTTACATAATAAAGCATAGTTGGTCCATAGGGAAACTTTTGTTCATGTTTATGACTACTTACTACTGTAGCTAAATTAATTTAAAAAAAAACTTGCGTACTGGTGTCCCTACTTTGGTTAACCTTTGTTTAATTAATTCTTACACCTAACATTCATTATAAAATTTTGATCGAATATATAAATGCACTGTTGGATGTCTTTTATAAAAATAAATGTAAAAATAAATCCTTAGTACATCTACTACGCAGTCTTAAAATAATTATTATTTTGTTAATTTTAAATATAGAAAACAGAAATTTATAAAAAAAAAACTATTTCTTAACTTTTGTTTTGTGACAAATGTTCGAATACATTATGTATAAAAATCAAAACGGTTACGAATATTTTTGTATTAGTAAAAAAAATATATTTTAAACTAAGTCACTTGATCGATCGAAAATCAAACTGTAAATCTACGTTTCATTTGTAGCATATTTAT